TGACATGTTGCTGTTAGCATAAAACGTGTTGCACAATGCTTGCACACTGTTGCACTTTTATCCACAACTTTCTTTCCGCCGTCATCGTAGGTCACTCTAAATGCAAAGCGCTCCCATACAGCAGACCTATAAAGTGCTGCTGGCGCGTCTTCCAACTCCTGTTCTTTCCCACTCGCCAGTCCGACACAATTCTCCACAACTGATTTTTTCTGCTACACCCGGCTAAGCTGCTACACTTCTTCTTCTTCTTGTTTACTACTGGCGGTTGGCTTTGGTCGCAGTTCCGTCATCTTCTGCTCTGGAGTGTAATCGCTTCCTCTATGAGAAAAAGGAGTAGCGCATGAACCGAACGAAACACACGCGAATCGAACCGAGACAGTCGAACCGAACAATTCTGACGGTTTTCATAAATCGTCCCATCCCTAATATATATATATATATATATATATATATATATATATATATACAGGAATTCATAATTCAGATTATTTAATAAAACATTATTTAACATAAAAAAACATTTACATCACATCAAGGAGTGTTAGCCTAGTGGTTAGAGCAGTGGACTGTGCTCTGAGAAGGTCGTACCCGGCTTGATCCCCACTGCCTCCACTCTGAGTCCCTGAGGAAGACTCTTAAACCCACACTGCTCCCCAGGCGCCCGGGCGCCGGGTTAAACCCAGAGAGGGGATCAATAAAGTTCAAGTTTTAATATTATTATTATTGATAAATCCGTCTAACCCAGTGCTGTCGAGTCCTGACATGTTATTAACATCATTCACGAAGTCCAACAATAGAAATGGCCATGCCCGCCTAGCGTGGTGATGTCATTATCCAAAGTTGTACCGCCATCTTTAAGGATGAAGAGGCTCCTTCCTCTTCACTGACACCATCTTATCGAGCGGGGATGGGGAAGCAGAGATGGCATCACCATTAAGCTAACGAGGTAGCATTGCTAACATTAGCTGAACAGCTGGCTAATGCTAATTTACGAGGATGTTTGTAATTAGGAAATAAAAGTGTTGTTTGACTAGCTCTGTTCATATTAGCTCTTTGCTAATCCTAAAGAAACATCCATCCATTGTCCTTCACGCTTTTCCCTGCTGGGGTGACAAGGGGTGCTGGTGCCTATCTCCAGCGGTCTACTGGCGATAGGTGGGGTCCACCCTGGACAGGTCGCCAGTCCATCGCAGGGCAACACAGAGACAAACAGGAAAAACAACCATTCACACACACACTCGAAACTAAGGAGAATTTAGAGAAGCCAATTAACCTAACAGTCATGTTTTTGGACTGTGGGAGGAAGCTGGAGTACCCGGAGAGAACTCACACATGCTCAGGGAATACGCGGGCCGGGAATGAAACCCAAAACCTTCTTGCCGCAAAGCGGCAGTCTAAAAAAATATTGTTTAAAGTAAACTTATGTTATTTAATATGTGAGCAAAATTAACTTCAGCAGGACCCGCCCCTCTCTGCCTCCGATTGGCTCACTGGTCCTCATGCCTACAGTTAACCAATGTAATCAGTAGTACTAGCCAATTAGAAGCAGAGGAGCACAGGTGATGGCTTAAAGAAAAAAAGGGAAATTTGGCTTGTATATTCTGCCTAATAGTGCGGATCATGGGGGAGAAGTGGGTATACTCCGTATACCCGTGTATACCCTGGACTACACTGCTGGTTCAGGCCTCTTACTTTGAGATAACTGTGTTGTGAGTCTGAAGAAGCATGAAGAAGGTTTACTGTTCACTGCTGCGTGGGCGACCAGCAAGTACCGGAATGACGAGTGAAATTAAAAAAGGTTTATTACTGTTAAAACATCAAACTCCAAAAAATAAAGATGAGCCAAACAGCTTTTAAAGGACAGGAGAGAGAGGAGACCTGCGGAGCCTAAATAGATATGTTGAAAACACAGAAGAACACAACAGAGCAAACAGCATCATCAGGGTATATGGCAAGGGCGTAGGTTTGATTTGAACTTTGGTAGGGACACTATTGGTTGGGTGTCATTGGTGCTATGCAATATGCATGCCCTTTTTTATGCTCGATGTGAGCATCCATACTGATAAGAGGAATTCATTGTTAAAAGAGAAAAGCATAATTTTGCTACATTAATAAAAATGTTATAAGCACTACACTCATTAGATGCTGTTTATCAATGTTTGAAGTATCACCGGCTCTGATGAATGTGGAATTAGGACTGTTTTACACTTTGAAAACGGTTTCATTTGAACGACTAAGAGAGAAGGTAAATACAGTATTTTCTTTTGAAGATACAGAATAGTGCAGAGTGAAACCCAACTCTTATATTTTTACCTACTATGCTCTCTCTGTATCAAGCAAAATAATACATTCATTAAAATATTAACTTTACTATAAAAGTTGAACATCTGGGCTGTAGTTACACTGTGTAGCCCATTTCATGTATTTTATCTGGGGCTGAAAAAATTAATCGTATTAATTGATTATTTCAATATTCGTTAACTAATTTAGTAGGTTATTCATCGTTAACTGGAGAATAGAGACTTTAAAACATACAGTAATATAAATGTAAAATGTGCCTTTCCCCCGACAGAGCAACCCACTTAGATCAGTAATTATACCAACATTGTAAAAATACAATATATATATATATATATATATATATATATATATATATATATATATATATATATATATATATATATATATATATATATATATATATATATATATATATATATATATATATATATATATATATATATATAACAGTGTTTTTCAATCCTGGTCCTCAAGGCACCCTGCTCTGCATGTTTTGGATGTTTCTGAGGTTCAGCACCCCTGATTCAGATGATTGCAGTTCAGCAAAGCCTGATAATCTGCTATCAATTGATAACAGGTGTGTGAAAGCTGGGAAACATCTAAAACATGCAGGGCAGGGTGCCTTGAGGACCAGGATTGAAAAACACTGATATATAAGATTAAAAAAATGTTTTTGTCTGTCAATATTCTCCATCCAGAACTCCTCAAGAGGAAATATTTTAGTTTCACCTGGTTTATTTAGACAGCACCTGGAGCACTGAAGGGCAGCTGCTTCATCTACAAGCTGCCCTGCATCATTATTACTGGATATCTGTGTTTCCTATAATCATATAATGTATAAGTTCATTTTTAATAGTAAAGGATTAAATGAAACACAACCTTTTCTCATCGTCCTATATTGTCTACTGTCTGACTGTTTAAACAGCTCCTTATGTCTATTTTCTTTTTTAGTGGCATCATCTACAAACACAACACTGAGCATGGGCCTAAGTGTATTCAGATTTAAAATCACTTTTAACAATTATTAATATTATGACAATATAACACTATCTTATCTCTAATTTAATAATAACCAAAATAAACAGCCAGATTCCAGCATTTTTAGCAGACATTAATGTTTGTACTAATTTACTTATAGACTGTGTGGAAATCTATGTAAGATAAAATCAATGTTAATATTCTTCCTCTGTTTGTTCTTGTCTTTATCCTATTTCTAGAAGTATAAATAGTCAATTAAATTACTATTATTATGTGGAACCCTTATTATGCTTTTTAAACGAAAAACAGCAGATGTTTAGATGCCATTTCTTGTTGTTATACTCTATAAGAGAAATAACACCTGCTAATAATTATACCTGAACTTCCTCAAAGAGTCAAACAGTAAAAAACAGTAACAGCAACTAAATATCGGTAAAAAGGAAACCCTCACATTTTCTTTTTTAGTTGGCTGTGGCTAAGAATCAGAAATGTTGATGGCTTACAGCCTTTATTTGCCCATTTTTCCAGCAGTCTTCAGAACTCCAGGCTGACTCAGAATATTTCGTTTTATAAAAGAAAAAAAAAGGTTTTTGTTTAGTGTACATGATATTCCTTTTTTTTTTTTTAATTGGGACTAGTTTTGCAGCCTAATATTAATTGTAGTAACTGTGGTATTCTAGTATGAATAAATTTTCAATTTTGTGCTCCAAGCACACGCAGACTTAGAAAACAGCCAGTAAGAGAGAGAGAAGGCGGAACCTAAGGCAGAACAACCAATGAGAGTGGAGTTAAACAGCGCAGCACAGTTCCATGCGCTGCTACGTGAAAGGGACAGGAGAGACCAGGCAGAGGAGCTGCGAGAGGAAAAGAAGCCACTGCTGCAACAACTACTGCTGTAAATTAGAAACATGTTGCTCACATCCAAATATTGGTAGGGACAATTAGGTCGGTTCAAAATTTTTGTAGGGACATGTCCCTTTGGTCCCTATGCAAACCTACGCCCATGGTATATGGCAGAGCATGGCGATGTGACGTGATGACAGGGGAAATAACATAACCTGATGGTAGAGCATAAGATATGCGAGCAAGGGAGAAAGATTGGTTTAACAGCATGCTGGAGCAGCATAACGAGAGACAAAATTAAACAACTGACTGGAAGCTGATAATGAATTTAACATAAACACTAGAACATTATATTGGATAAGTGCAATGCACCTTCCACATTGAACTGGCCATGTTTCATGGCATGAGCATGCTACATATATGTTCTATATAGAGTCATCAACACAATTTTTGCACTTTTGGAACATCTTAAGACAACAAACACACTCAACACTGTTCAGATTTACATTTGTGGATGTTTGATATCATGTCTCCTTTATCTTCCACTTCACCAGTCATGACAACACACCGCTTCATGTTGGTCTGTAGAAAGATCTACTGGAATACCAGCTGTTTGTGGATTTCAAAAAGCTCTAAACAGCTGGATCTGCAGTTGCATGTTTCCATCCACTGACCATCAGTATAATTGTAGACATGAGGAGCTAGCTAGCTAGCAGCAGACCTGTTTGCTGTTTTAAGCCACTGTAAAACAGCCTTTCTTATTGTGTGAAGGACGTCTAGAAATGGCGCTAACCACGAAGGGTTCTGTTATCTGCAGTGACCTCTGTGGATCTACATGGTTCTAACTGATGCTGATGTAAACCCTCCTGTTTCCACAGATTCCTCAGATCAGCTATGCCTCCACAGCACCGGAGCTCAGTGACAACACGCGCTACGACTTTTTCTCCCGTGTGGTTCCCCCTGATTCCTACCAGGCTCAGGCCATGCTGGACATCGTCACAGCCATTGGCTGGAACTATGTGTCCACTCTGGCATCTGAGGGCAACTACGGTGAGAGTGGCGTGGAGGCCTTTGTCCAGATTTCCAGAGAGTCTGGTAGGTGAACCGATGCTGAAGCTGCTAAGTCATTATTTCTGTGAAATAAAATGTTTCTAGAAGGATAAAGGACTTCTGATACCGTCTCCAAGAAGGGACAGAGCAGACTGGACTTCTAGAAGAAGCTTAGGTCCTTCAGATGCTGCAGATCTTCTATCAGTCTGCTGTGGAGAGTGATCTCTTCATCCACCATCATCATCATCATCATCATGAGAGCTAATGACTGAAAGAAGCTCAACCAGCTGATAACAAAGGCTGGCTCTGTTCTAGGAACTCCTCTAGAACCTCTGAAGATGAAGAAGATGATGGACGACAGTGATCATCCTCTTCATCAGACTGTTAGACCCCAACAGAGGGTCTTAGATCAGAGGCTGATCCAGATTCGGTGCAGGACAGACCTCTACAGGAGATCCTTCGCATCTACAGAATCAACACCTAAAACTGGTTAAAAACTAACCTATTAGTTACTACAACATTTAAACTTATTTTGGCATTAATAAAGAATTTCTTGGGCATGCTTTGGTGGTGCAGTGGTCAGAGAGCACGACCTATGTCGGGAGGCCTCAGTCCTCGACACGGCAACCCGGGTGGCATGTTTACCGCATGTTTCTGAATAGATTCAATATAATGTTGCTATAAAGTAGGTCACTATAAAGCAGCAACTGGCTTCATATGGGCTGAGCTGCTATCACCATGGCCTTCAGGTGAGCTCTGACAGGAACTTGATCAGAGGAAATGAATCCCTGAGCTTGATGATGATGATGATGATGATGGTGGTGATGATGATAATGATGGTGTTGATAATGATGATGATGATGATGGTGGTGGTGATGTTGATGTTGATGGTGATGATGGTGATGATGATGGTGATGATGCTGATGATGATGGTGATTATGATAAATAAATGATGTTTAATAACATGCTGCTGTCATTTTGCACATCTGTGATGTTACTGCTATTTTCAAATATCCATTACTATAAAAATGTCCACAGCTGACATTTTTACAGCAAGATCGAGCTGCATCTCAGTTCTCTGAGTTTTTACCTCCAACCTGATGCTAGAGGCCATCAATAATCTCCTAGAGACTATAGAGATGTTGTTTAGCTGCAAATAACGGAACCTTCCACTGGTTTGAGGTCAAGTCTCAGGAAAGCTGAAACATCTGCCTTTTGTCCTTTGTCTAAGTTCCCACTGAGATCACCTGAGATCACCTACGTTCCTTTGGGAATGATTAAGACTTTCCAAACATGGCCTACACCATTTAATGTTGCATCGACAGTATTTCAGTTTGTTGTCAGGTTAAAATCTAGGAAAGCTGGAGAGCTGGGGGTGGGTTCAGGCACTGCGGTCTGATCTTCTATCACCCAACAGTTTGACTGGAGGGATGACAGAACACAGACATCTAACCAGTTTGACTGCTTCTACCATCCTTCTTTAATCCAGAAGCGCCATCCTTTTATCATCCAGGGATGGTGAAACTTTGTGAAAAAAGCTTTCATTGATACAGTTCCATGCTGCAAGTTTATTAATTTTATGTTAATCGATCCTCACATGCCTTTTAATAGCAGCTTTCCCTCGACCGCTTACGTCCAAATCACATCGGCAAAGTGTGCAGAAGCAATAGAAAGAGTCTCCACTACTTTTCGTTGTAAATTCACTCTTTTGTCTGTTCAAAGTTAAACCAGGTGTTGCCTTTTGACTTGATGCTAACTTTCTGTCAATGTCTAACGTAGTAGCACTATGATCCTTGTTTACTTTTTTAACCAATGACAAACAAAAGTCATATGACGTCATATTATATGACACAGGACTACTCTTAGCCATCTGTTAGACCAAATAGTCAATGTATTTTTTTTACTTCTATGATTGGATATTGTGCTGCAGTCCAGCAAAAATGGGGGAAAAAAATCTTGTGCCCAATAAAGGAGGACTAATAGGCATCCGGCTGGATGCTGCGCTGGACGCCGGACAGTGCAATGAAAATCAGCACTGTGGGCCTAAAGCCGGATGTCTGGCCACCCTATTTCTCAGTGTGCCCAGTAGGTTGGACTGGCATATCTTTAGTTAGTCCCAGCTAGCTCAACTCACCTTTCTACTGTTTTCTCACTGTTTCTGCTGCCTTTGCATCATATTATTCTGATCACTGCTGTACTTAATAAATGGAAATGTTCATTTCACTGTTGTAAGCTGTATGCATTGTAATTTCGTTTTGTATACACTCTGTGTATACAAGATGAAAATAAAATTTGTCTTAGTCTACCTATAGCAGTTAGCTTTAGCCAGCTTTACCCATTAGCTCAGCTGTATTCCAACATTATTAGTTATTAGTATATTAATTTTAATAACTACTGTAACAAAAGTTGCAACAACAATTTTTTTCTCCATCCAAATGAAGTGACAGGTAAAAATAAACCTATTGAGATGGCTTAAAATAAGACGTTCCTGCCTTTCTTAGACCGCGATGTTTAATTGAACACCTCTAACATGACTGTGATACTGTACATCCTCCATCTCTGGGCTGGAAGACCTTTAGCTATCGACCCTCCTCAGACCATCAGTGCCTGCTTCAGTGTGGTGAGCCATGCCATCTGGCAGATGACAAGAGAGCTTTGCAGACAACAGTGTGTGTAACCTCAGCGGAAGAGGCAGGCTGTCATAGAATAAAGGCTATTTAAACAATATCACTACAAATAAACTGGATTCTTTGCATCTTCCCATTCACATTTCATTGTTCAGAATAAAGCAAAAAGCAGAAGATCTAATGGCTTTTCCTTCCTGGTTATTGTGTTAACTTCATATCCATCTGTATTCATCGGACTTTGCCTTTGAAGCCCTTGAAGTCTCTCTGTGATCAGTGAGGAGCTGCAGGTTCCAAAGAACCTTGACCTCCTGCATGCTGAGCTGAGTCACTCCATGTCAGCAGCTGGTGGAGTTTTTTATTTTGGTTCCTTTTTAGATGTTACAGGATGGATCAATGCTGCTGCTTTCCTCCATCACTGCAAGTCCTTTAATGCTGAGATTCCCACACCTTCACTTTCTGACCCACAAAATTGTATTAGAGTTTGTAGATGACCCAAACTTTTAGTGTTTGAACAAAATCAATTAACCATAGTTAAAGATCCTTACAAACAACATCAGCAGCCACAGCAGAAAGATGTAAGTCATTAAATACATACGTTTTTCAAACTCTTCCTTCTTCCTCTCCTCTCTCCTGCTCTCTGTGTCAGATGTTCAGTTATTCCTCTGCCTCCTTTAGTGATAATGGGATGTGTAATAGGTGCAGCATTTTTGTAGCTTTGGAGGCGAGGGTGTGAGAGTTAGAATCCAGGCTTCAGGCTGTTGAACATCCAGGAGTTAAAGTAGGCCCCACACGTAGCTGTCCTTCAGCAGTGCCTGAGCAGCCAGGCGATTGGATAACTGTACGCAGAAAGCGTAGTAGTGGATCTCTGCCCACTGGTCACCACCAACCTGTTCTTGTTTCTAACCGATTTTCCCCACTCAGTGATGAACCCACTGAGAAGCCCACTCTGGTAATTGGCAGCTCCATAGTCAGAAATGTGGCATTAGAGACACCAGGGACCATAGTCAAATGTTTGCTGGGGGCCAGAACGGGCAAAACTGCTGGTTTATTGCAAAAATTAGCCACTCCTGTCCAGGGGTGATACTGAGAAACTAGTCCATGCATTTGTTACTTCAAGGCTGGACTATTGTTGTATTGTTATGAGGAAATTTTAGAATGAGGTAATCAGGAGGTAAAATGCCCATAGTATAGAGGTAAATGTTGTAAAATTTATCAAACAACATCTGCAAACTTTTTTTTAGAGGTGGATGACACCAGGAATTTTTAATCGATCCAATACCAAGTAAATACAGGGTCAGTATCGCTGATATCCATACGATACCAATACTTTTTACATTTAAGATTGATGTTTCATGTGACTGTTGACCTTTTGGTGTTTTTATGATTTTTTTTTTTATTATTACAATGCCATAATAATAATAATGTTCTGTTCATAGTGTTTTTTCCTAATCCACCTCTTATATTATATATTTCAATCCATGTGTAATTTTCTTTGTACTGTGTGAACTTGCCTGTTGCTTTAATTCTATAAATGTCCCCATCGTGTAATAAGTAAAGGGTTGCTAATGTTAGCCCACTTAGATAACACGTTTTCACATTTTAAGGTCTTAATTCCACTTTCTGAGTGGGCTCCACTAACATATGACATATAATATCTTTTTTAAAAGTTAATCTGAAGGTGATCATTTTTATATACCTGGATATTTTCTGCAGCTCTGAAACGCCTCTATCAGTGACGTCTGTCTGAGGGTCTGTCGGGTCAATGAGTGAATTTTTGTCTCCTCTCATTGTTTCTGTAGCTCCATGTTTTCTTGCTCATGTTGGTTTTTCATTTGTTCATATAAACTTGTTGTGTTTCCACTGCATTTAACCAGCTTTTTATAAACCATACAGCTGGTGTTTCATTTATGGTATTTTGTGCTCTAATGGTCTCTCTCTCTCTCTCTCTCTCTCTCTCTCTCTGGAGCAGTCTGAGGAGCAGCAGCACGGTTGTTTGTTTGTCGAGTGGAAAGAGAGCTGAGAGGCCAGGGCCAGGCAAAGTGTGCTGAGCTAGAGAGGGGACAGGGGATTAGCAAAGTGCAGTGACACAGACGGGGAGACTGGTGAATCTGTTGCAGTTAGAGTGTGTGGGAGAGAATAAAAAGCATCAATCTTGTTAAAGTATTATTCAATATCAATACCAGCATTGGTATCGATAGCATCGATCCTACGATCGATCCGCCCACCTCTAGTATGTATTGATATTTTATGGTGATATTTGCAACGTCAAGTCATTATTTTGACTGAAATGATATTTTGCTAGGATAAAATTACTCCTGCTGAAGTATCATTGTTAATATATGTGACAAGGCTGGTTCCTGTGTCAAACCACAGTGAATAGATAAATAAGTGAATAGATAAATACATAATTCATTTGAT